AAGATATACTTTCGAAGACCCTATTATGGACTCTGTGTTCTTAGCCTTCCTCAGGCCGCCACCCTTTACTTTATTTTCCCCCAACCATTACTTTATTTTCGTTGCTATTTCATCACTGTCATTTTGCTACTGCTATGAATCGGGCGACTCCTGTGAAAGGGTCGTTCAACCCCCACAGGGGTGGCGACCCACAGGTTGAGAACCGCTATCATAGAGTGCTGGTAATATTTATCAAACTTTCGGCTTTTCTACAGTTGAGGCACAGGCTAAACTTGCTTCTGCGCTCAAAACTACTTATGCTAATTATACACGTTCACATAGTTTTTAAATGAAATCACATATTTTTTGTGCGTGTGTTTTTGCAGAAATCAATTTAAATGCTTTGGGAAATTTCATGGAAGTTCAGACACCAAGAATAACCGCTACTCATATGTTGAAACAATGATAGCAGATTGAAAGCGAAGCTGCCAAAATTGTCAAAGAATGCTGTATTCAATTGAGCACCTGTCTCTTTTGTTAAAAGGTCACTGAATTTTCCCATGAACATTTTGAGACCACTCACATATATAGTATTATTAGTGTTGTTTGTGCAAGAATGACAACTTAGCCTTCTAATAAATGGAGCAAAGAAAAGGTACCGTGGTTCTGCCCTAAAAGGTTGCAATGGCTTTATAGATAGGTATGGCACTGCCAGCCTTAGGTTTCCCCTAAATGCCACTATAGTAGCAGAGAGCACTAAGGGCTTTGAATATTTTTTGTAATTTTTAACTAATGTTTATGCAATTCTCTGAAGTTTAGTGCTTGGTGCGCTACATATCAATGACTATATGCACCAAAAAATATGATCACTTAAAAAATTATGCAAATAATCAAATAACTAGGCCAGAAAGGGTCAACAGGTACAGGGATACCTCCTGTACAGTTCTTCCAAGCTGCATTAGGAAGTGGAGCCTGTTGCCGTGTGCTGCTGAAATGGGTCCCTACCCTTTGATGGATGTTCCAGCACACATAAAGTGATTTCAGTCCCAAGGGGACGTTAAAATACCTGACATCCCCTGCTGAGTTCTGCAAAAATAAAGCTAGGAAAGCGAAGGTTAAGGAAACAAGCCAGGATTCCAACCAGGCCTCAGATATTTCTTTAGCAGTGACCTTCCCTTTACGAACCCTTGCTTCATTCTCGACTCTACACAGTAAGTTTATTCATACTTTGGGATAAAGGTTCTGGGAGAAAGAAGAGCAAAGGACACTTGCTTTGACTCAAGAGGACTCACACAGCTCGCTGCTCGGCCTCAGATGAACCCAACTGAAGTGGAAGTATGTTAATGCCATAGCCATAAGCCACCTAATAATTTCCAATATTTAAAAAAAAATTAGATTTAATTTAACTACTTGAGTAATTATTCAGTTATCTCTGGCACTATTTGCTACCAGCAATTGCTCCAGATTAATTTTAGTGAATAGGAGGCTTTAGAAATTTGTATTATGACCCTTTCCTAGAAACCAAAAAAGAGCACTTTTTTTTCCTTCATTTTATTGCTGAACATCGGGGAAAAAGAATTTCTTTCATAAAGCTTCATATTGGGCTACTTTTAGTAACCAGGGCTTCCGCGTTAGCAAAGCCAACATCAGTTATTGCAGAGCGAGTAAAAACCTGGGCTGTGGAATCTGCCACTTAAATTTCAATCTTGCTGTCGGGAATATCTGTCATTAGTAAATAGTAATGATTGTTTTTAACACCCCTCTGTGGATAAAAGCCAAATTTTAAAACCTTTCCCCAAAGAGAGGAAGCCCAAACAGTAAGGTGACTCATATCACAGGCAAGAATATGTTTGTACTTTCTACCCATATCCCATCTTCTACTTTATAAATCAAGAAAACTCACAATTTTAAGAGCACTCAGTGCTGAGAGAGGAAAACAACTCCAAGAGAAGAGGAACGTGAAAACAGGGCGGCAGCAGCACACGTTGCCCGACACTGTGCGTCGAGATAAAGAGAGTACTTGGGTAGCTCCAGTGAACTGCTGAAAATGCAAATGCTGTTTGGTTTGATATTCATGAGTACACTGGTCTTTGTTGGAGCCATCAATGGTCAGCCGGCTGCGTAGAGCACCACAGTCACTAGGAAAGCTAGGGAGGGGTTGACAGAGGAGTCCGGCCCTGCTGAGAGACTTTGCATTTCTAAGCAGGTGTCTGAAAACCTGTTTATGGCCAGTGATAGAGAGCTAAATGCTCCTCTTCTAAATGTATTTTTGTGTGTTTAATGTCATTCCCTTTCAGTAACATTTGTGATGCTCAACTTTTTGGAAACTGGGCCTGCAAGTGTCATAGTTTTGTTATTATTAAAGAAGAATTTCTTCTCTTAAAAAAAAACCCATAGATCTTACTCTCCACTCCCACTACATGGAAAATTGCTTGAGGGAGGAGTGAAGTTCTAGCCATGGATAACTCTTTTGCACACGGCACAGTATCCAGTCCATATTTTATTACCAATAGATAGTGAATGAAGAAATTAATGGAAAAGCAGACAACCAAAAGATACAACTGTGCCATCTAGTGGTAACCTGATAAAATGCACATCCGTGGTTCTCTGTAGGAAAAGGTAGTGGAATTGACATAAAACAAGATGTCTTTCGTCAATGTTGCCACCCACAGCTTCATTTTTCTGAATTGCACACATGACTTCAAGGATGCTAAGTAGAGTGACATACCCTCTAATCTGAAGATTTTCCTGATAGAAGAAATCCTATAGGAAGAAAAAGGGAGCCTTGGTGGTGCAGTGACTCTACAGGGGGCTACTAACCTGGGTGTCAGCAGTTAGAGGCCACCACAGGCTGCTTCGTGGGAGCAAGACTAGGCTTTCTACGCCCATGAAGCGTTAAAGTCTCAGAAACTCCCGGGGGCCGTCCTGCCCTGTCCTGTAGGATCGCTACAAGCCAGAATGGACTCGATAGCAGTGAGTCTGGTTTTACAGTAAAAAAGAAATGAAAACCAACCAAATCCACTGTCACCAAGTGGACCCTGACGTTATGGCATGGGGTTCTTCCCAGACCAAGTCTTTACAGGATCGGATAGTCTCATCTTTCTCTCCCGGAGGTGCTGCGTGGGTTTGAACCACAGGCTGTACAATGAGCAGCCTGATATCTAACCCAAAGCACAGCCAGGGCTCCTTATGGTAAGATAAAAACCATTGCCATTGTCCAGGCAAACGTATAGCCACCTTCGAGGAGAGAGGAGAACTGTGCCTTTGGTTTTCCAGGGCTGACGGGATGACAGTGTGAAGCACACCGCGGTCCCTGGGAACAGGTCCGGGGAGCTGCTTCCCCAAAGGGCCAGCTTTGCGCCCTCCGGAGCATAGCTGTCTACTTTGTATACGTGCATTGAAGTCAGTTCACCAGCCACTCACAAGAATCTGTAGTGGTCCTCCGTAACAAGCTGCTAAGCAGTAACAAGACAGGGCTTCCTCTCATCATTTATTAAAGCTCAATTTTAAGTCTTTAAACATACGGTGCTTTCCCCGACCCAGGAGGACGAACAACAGAAACATGGGCAAAGGGAGACAGTGGATGGTATAAGATATGAAAATAACAATAATAATTGATCATTTATCAGGGGTTCATGAGGGTGAGGAGGTGGGGGAGGGAGGGAAAAAGAAAAACTAATACCAAGGGCTCAAGCAGAAAGAAAATGTTTTGAAAAGGATGATGGCAACATGTGTACAAATGTGTTTGATACAATTGATGTATGGATTGTTAAAAGAGCTGTAATGGCCCCCAATAAAATGATTCATTAATTTTTTTTAAAATACTGTACTTTATTGGCCAAGGTTTTCAGATTCTGCTTGAGAAAGCGAGCAGGACTTTTCTCTGCCAAGTCAATTCAGTCTGGGCCTTGCATGTCATTAGTCCATGAACGATTCTATTTAAAATGTCCCATCAAGCCAGTGTGCCCCACAATCCACGTCAACCGGGACTTGCCGTCAGCACGAAGAACAACATTCCTGTCTCTTCCCTGACATGCAGCCAAAGATGCAGTGTTCCAAAATCGATATGCATCATGCCTAGCTTGAGGCACACCCTACAGCCCCCGCTCAGTATTTTCTACCTGTTGCTTGATGAGTGATTGTCTCCCAGGGACGTCTAAAGCTTCTCTGTTGCTCTACTTCTCTGCCTTACTAAGCTAAATGAGAGGGTTGTTATTCTTTAAGTTCACGCTTCAAGGTTAAAAAGAAGAACCATGTAAATGCAAATATGCACCAGCATTTCCACTGTAAGTTCTGGGCGCCCCTCTTACGAGGCTCTGCTCCCACAGAACAGTCCCAGAGGAGAACTCATTCTGGAGAGTCTGAGCAAGGCAGACACCAATCCCTATGCTCTCCTAAAGAATCCATCACTGTATTGAAAAGAGTGACAGTTAAAAATACGAAAGAAAAAGATACAGTCCCATCACCAAGGACATATAAGGCACACTTTCTGGGTAGAAATTAGTAAGTAGAAACAAGAAGAAGAATCAGGATAAACTGTTCTCCCTGGAATACATTTGGACTCAGTGGTGGGGATGATCCTGGAACGTGGTCTCACCAAGGGCGCCTGAGCCAGCCTCTTTCCAGAAGTTTGCTGTTGGCGCGTTCTACCACTTTGCCGGCAGTGGGTGCAAAAGGGCCGAGGAGCTAGCAACCAGAAGTCAGTCACCGGATCGAGACCCAACCAGTCCTCCACGGTCACAGGACACGGGCTTTCTCCGGGTGAACTGACGCTGATGAACAGAAGCGAAGCCCGTGCGGGGCACTGCAGTGACGTTGGCCTATCTCCAAATATCAGAGTTGATTCGGTGCCAGAGAGATGTATGATCCATCCCCTAGTCACCCCCAAAGAAGTTCAAAACTTAAAGCTCAAAACATTTGGTGAGTAGCAAAGTCTTCGGCTTGAAAACCGGGCTGGGTAGGGGTGGCGGGGTGGGGAGTGGGTGGGGGCGAGCCAACGCTGACCGGTGACTTGTACTCACCGTAGTGGTGGTGGTGACCTCCTCCGTGACAACCTTCAGAGTGTCCACCACGGAGATGTAGCCCAGCCGCTTAGCGATCGCCAGGGCCGTGTTGCCATTCTGAAGCGAGAGGGAGCGAGGGGGCGAGAGTGAGACGGACGGAAGGGAGGACGGCGGTGGGAGCCAATGAGATCATCCGAGGCTCCGCGTGAGCCAGCCTTTCCTTCCCAAACCAGGCACCGCTTCGGAAAATCACTAGTTTGTACCATGACATCTAAATCTGTCTTTGTAACTTCTTTAGACTATAGGCCAGGTCACCATGGTAACACAACAAGCGTGCATCTGCCCGAGCTCGCTCGCTCTCTCTCTTTCTCATTAAAAAGCGCTGGAGCTTTAACCCTCAGGTGGTCAAATATCTCTGCAGATACCTTCCCGGGGCGCCTCCAAACATAAATAACGGCCAGGAAGAGGCGCCCGTAGCCCTCCGGGGAGGTCACGCCATCTGCTGCAGGTGTGACCGCGGGGAACACCGCCACCTATTTGGCTGCAGCTGTGCAGAAGCTCCACCCAGACCGAAAGCACGCAACTCAGCAATCCGGGCTCCAGCCGGGGCCACCGCGGAAACTCCGGTTTGCTGAATAGCTGTGCTTAGTTTACATTTCAATGGCTCCTCCTTTCAATGAGCTTTGTCTAAACCAGCAGCCTCTGAAACTGCGCTCCCTAAGACTGCTGGGAGGGAGGGCTGGGCCGGTGCTCGCGTCTGAGAGCCGGCTGTTAGCCCAGCGCGGTCCCCCAGCCCAGGAGGAGGGCCCAGCGAGCAGACCCCGCACCCCCCTCGCCAGCAAACTCTCCCAGTGAAGTTGCTCAGACATCTCCCCAGGCTTTTCCAAGAGGTTTCTCTCCAGAATCCGGTTACGTATTTCAGGAGGATGTATTACAACTCAGCTCAGAGAAGAGGCCAAAGCCGGAGAGGAGGAGGAGGAGGAGGGATGGGAAGGACAACCCAGCGTAGCTTACCGCGGTGGTGGCATTGGGCTTGGCCCCGTGCTGCAGCAGGATGTTAATGATGTGTGTGTGGCCTTGCTGGGCGGCCTGGTGCAAAGGCGTGTAGCCATTCTGTGGATGGCCGTGGCAGTGGGAAGAGCATCAGACAGAAGAAAAAAAAGACAAATTAGGTTAGCCTTCCATTTGAAACCTCCCAAATCTTATTTACAACAAAACCATCCACCGGGCAGGCCTGGTTTATCTGTAGCTCAAGGCTACCAGCCACCCGTTTCTCAGCAGCAAACACCCTCACACCTTCTGTACCAGGGGAAGAGACTAGGCTTAGAAACAGGAGAGGGAACTGACAGCACATTCTTCTTCTTGGTATAGCTCAGCCAGTGAGCAGGAAAAGTGGGCCGTTCAGAGGAGCTTTACCAGAGAAAGGTGGGCATCACATGAGCTCCCTGGAAAACACGGACTGAAGGTTTGAGCGAGGCTTAAAGAGTCCAAGTCAATGAAAGCCAGTCCACATCTTCCATTCCTTTCTGAGAACAGCTTTGGTCAAAGAAACACCCGTGTGTGTCTGTGTGTAACGGAAGGCTTCCCTGGAAGTTAAGTAACTTGTCCTCACTAGGAAATGTTTTGTTTGGGATTTTTCATCTCATGGCGTCATGCTTCCACATTGGGCTGCTCGCTGAAAGCGCAGTCATTCAAACCTACCCGTGACGCTGCGGGAGGATGGGACCATCTGCTCCCATAAAGACCGGAAGGCAGTTCTACTCTGGCCTTCGAATTGAAATCGCCTCTGTGGTGGTGGGTGGATTTGTTTATTTGTAAGTTTGTTTGTTTGTTTGGGCAGGTTCTTTTTCACATATGGGCCTCAACTTTCATGCCGATGACAACTCTGTAGTTCTAGATTTTGGTACAAAGTATGTGAAGGTTAGTGTGAAGCCAGTCTTGCCAAGAAGGGGTGTGAGCGGCAGGTGCGGCACAGGCTGTTACAGCTTCTAGTGAATTTTCAAATGCTTTCCTGGAGTGGTTGGAAGTTAAACAAGGCAATCACAACACCACTTGGCACCGGATAGCTCTGTCTGTGCTGGAGGAGAATTGTGCTCCATGTGGTTTTCAATGGTGGGGTTTTCGAAAGTGGATCACCAGACCTTTATTCCAAAGCAGCTATGGGGAGATTCAACCTTTCAGTGAGCAGCCGAGTGTGTGAACTGTTTGCACCATCCAAGGGCGGTAAGGCATACTTATTGTTTTTTGAGCATTCATTTTGTACCAAATGCTGGACCTTACATGTATTACCTCTTCATGCTCAAAAACAAACAAACAAAACTCGAGTCGTGCCTACAGGGCAGGGTAGAACTGCCCCTGTGGGTTTCCAAGGCTGTAACTTGGCGGGAGTAGAAAGTCTTTTTATCTGTCTGAAAATGGGAATGATTAGCATTCACATCATCAATAATTATTGACTGAATGAGCAAAGAGCCATGGTGGTCTAATGGTCACACACTGGGTTGCAATCTGCATGGTTGGCAGTTCAAAACCACCAGCATCTCTGTGGATGAAAGACTGGGCTTTCTACTCCTGTAAATAGTTACATCTCAGAAACCCACAGGGTCACTATGAGTCTGCATTGACTTGAGGACCATGAGTTTGGAGCTTTTTAGAATGTGCCAATGCGCACCTGATTGAACACATGTATATTCATATCCTCATTCCAGAGACTATAAAAAGAAAGATGGCAGAATCAAGTATTTTCTTCACCATCATTCTAGGTTCAAATCATTTATACAAGATCATGATAGCAAATGGATATGAGAATGACTGTTTGTGCTATTTGTCTACCTCCCACCTGACAAATCTTTATCTCTACACTTTAGACCACGTTGTCCTGTACTATAAATTCTGAATGGCCCATCTCTATCTTCAACTGGTGTATTTCTTATATCCAACATCCATGGCCCTCCATGATTCATGTACAGACATTTGCTTATCCTGTCTACATGAGGTGCCTGCATATATGGACAGCGGGCCACAGGATTCGCTACATTCTCGGTGGTGGCTTTTCCATGCAAAGAAATAAATCCATAGGCATGAAAATCTCTCTCTGAGGGTCCTTCAGTCTGTGGCACATCCACAGTCCCACCACATGGAAATTCTCCTGTCCTCTATAATCCCTACAACAGAATGACCCTCAGACGCCTAAAAATATTAACAAATCGGAAGGACCTTGAAACATTTTGCTGGGGCTCTGCTCTCAACCCACTAAGTCTCTTACCCATGGGCATTAATGGGGAAGCCGTGCTATCCCTTTTCTAATCTATTCTCCCTTCCCATTGTGTTTATCATGTTTGCCCTCCCAGATTTGGTTTACATACATTTACAAAATCAGCCAAGTTCATCCACTCAATAAGTACTTGCTAATCCCACACTAAGTGCTAGACACTTGATGCTGTGCTTATATAAATTAATCATGTCTAAGTAACATCCTTGTCCTCAATAGCTCACAGCACAAGGATCCTTCAATGGACATTTTAGCCCAAAAAAAGCTCCCTCCCCAAAGTGCAACAACACCTGTTGCCAAGGAATTGATGCTAACACAGAGGGACTCTATAAGATGCAGCAGAACTGCTTGTTTCCAAGGCTGTACTCTTTACAGAAGCAGCCAGCCACTTCATTCTTTCAGTTAGCAGCCAAGCACGTAGGCCCTCCCCCTCCAGGATTTCTACCTTTCCCCCAAACCTGATTAAATATAACCTGTACCGAAAGCCTTTGACTCATGAGAATATATGCCCAGAATGTTTGAAACAATCCAAGTGTTTTCACATGACCTTTTGGTTGAAGCTTAACCATTTGGGCCTATCTGCTGAGGACCTCTACGTCCGGTCCTTCCACCAGCAAACCACTCCTTGACACCTTCATTGTCTCATTGCAAGTTCGCTCAAGTTCAAAGGAGTGTTCCATGCCAATGTTTTTAAAAGTATAGAGTTAAATGAGAATGATAACAAACATTTTGATGAGGGATTTTGAATCGGTCCACAACTTTATCATCTTTTTAGACTATTTTATAAAGACATTTTAAGATGACACGCTCTAACTCCAAACCCTTTCATAATTAAACCAAATCAGATTTGTTAAAGGCAGAGTTTCATTCTAATTTTAAGCAACTAACAGTCTCAGAAAACAAGGCTGCTTTTCATATCTTTCTGTCAAGTCATGAAGGTGCAGAGTACAGGCAGTACAAATGTTTTTAAGTTTCCAAAGCAAGGGAGCCATTGTTTACTAACTGTGGTTACACATAGACATCTAGTCTAAAGGACCTTCTCTCTCTCCAGGTGAAAAATTTCTGAAAAAATTATTAAAAGATTGTCTTCTGAAATATGTATTTATCTACTCCCTGAAGACCCATGGTTCCAAATTTAATGAGAAAAGTTACACAGTTCACTTAAGGGAAACAACAATGACACTGAGTTGTTGAAATAAGATTTTTCTCTCAGTTAAGTGTCCATGTGAACACAGATGAACTCTTGGGAGGGAGGGCACTGCCGTGATCTAGAGCTGATACAGATGTCTCTCAGGGGATTGGACCAAGGGCCCCCTTGGATAGCAAAATCCTCACGCAAGTGCCTTCTATAGAATGGTGTATTATTTTCATAAGGTTATACATTTCCTCCTACACACTTTATTTCATCTCTAGGTGATTAATACAGTACCTAATACAGTGGAAACTCTATGGCTTTCACCACTTAATTGTTTTGGTGGGATTTTTCGCCCCCTGTAGAATATTTTCCATCTGTGGTTGGTTGAATGTGAGGATGCCTTTCCCATGGATGCAGGGGGCCAACTGAATTTGTCTGGCTTCTAAATAGTGCAGCATTTCCACCATCAAACACATAACAAGAGTAAGGGGAACAACTATGTATGGGAGGAAAAGAAACCCTCAAAGTCTCATTGCGTTGTTTCATTTATCTGCATTTCAACAAGAATGTCCCTGGACGGCATATGCAAAGCTGAGTCTGCACATAGGAAACTAAGAGGTCAGGCCTAAGCATTTATTTGACAGCATTTAGATGCCTCGAAATAAATTGCAAGCGAACTCCAGAAACGGGCAGAAACGTGTTGGTGTGGTTAGCTGCCAAGGAGTCAGCCCCTTGGTCATAGCTGCCCCCCCGCCTGCCTCCCCTGACCTCCCCCCACCCCTACCCCCGACCACACACACACACACAGCACCAAGGATCACCACTCAGTCCTGCACCATCACCACCACTAGCTCCAGAAACTTGGCAGCAGTTATTCTTGATGTTTGGGTCACAAATATTACTAGTGTTTATCATTTAAAAACTAACTTTGACTTTAAATGAGCTAATAATCATGACTGTGGGTAGAAATGCTTCGTTTCTACTTCTCTGTTGAGGATAGAAAGAGAAAGTCCATCTTACAAAACTTGTGTGTGTTTCTACTTAGTAACAGCTTGAGTGGTGGCTTTGGATGCTGCTTGCACTGAAATTCTTGAGCCTACTCATGTAGCCAGAATTGGGCATTTCTGATGTATACACTTTAAAATATATGGCCATGTGCAAATAAGCACTTTTCTTTAGACCAAACAGCCTTGAACATCAACTTAAATGGTGCAGAGTAAAACTAAAAAGCCTAACCAGTTGCCACTGAGTTGATTCCAACTCCTGACAACCGTGTGTGTATGTCTGTGTCTGTGTGCGTGTGTGTCTGTGTCTGTGTGTGTGTGTGTAGAACTATGCTCCAGAGGGTTTCCAATGCCTGATTTATCAGGGAAAGATTGCCAGCCCTTTCTTTCCCTTTGGGAGGACTTGACCTGCCAACCTTCCTGTTAGTAGCCGTGCTCCTTCGCCGTTCATACCACCCAGGGACTCAGGATGCATCTTAGCAGAAACTACAGCATGCCTTGGCTTTTCACCTTGAACTAGTCTGAGCACACTGAAGGGAACAGGACCCTTCAGATGCCACTGGACAGATCAGCTGGGATAAGTGAGCCCTGCAATGGACTTGAGAACTTCCAGGCCCGTCCTTACATACTCCCTGAGCATGACTATGTGGTCCCTCCACGGCCATAGAGTACATGCTAACTGATGATACAGCCCTCCAGGAGAGAGAAGAATCGCTCCTCAGGGTTTCTGCAACTGGACACCTTTATAGGCGCAGATAGCCTCACCTTTCTTCCAGGTGGGTTTGAATGACTGACATTCTGGTTAAGCCTAATGGTGAATGGACGGAGTCAACCACGGGTCCTTCCAGTGTGCAGGGTTGAATGAAAACGAATGGCCTCGGTCTAAACCACCTGTCTAGAGAGGGGCAGAGACTAGGGAAGAGGGCAGCAAGACCCTAAAATACCATAAAGGGACTCTACCAGAACATCAAGATGTTGGATCAGACAGCTATTATATCCTACAGTAAACGGTTGGGGCAGTGACTGCAGCTTTAGAGGGTAAGTGGTCTGTAAGGGGGAAGGACCTGTCTGTCGAGGATTACCTGAATGTAAAACTTCAAACAATTACAAAATTACATCCCTTCTTAGAAATCATACAAGCACAACTCAAAACAAAACCCCACACATAATACACAACTTGTAGCTATGGCCAGCTACGAAGTCACATGAGCACAAACAGAAGCAAAGGCTCACTGGCCACGAGCACAGATAGGTTACCTTGGTCTTTGCGTTGACATTTGCTCCCTGTTTCAGAAGAAAGTTGACCATTTTCACATTTCCATAGTGACAGGCGACAATTAAAGGAGTGTAGCCAAGCTGTGACAAAAAAAATTTTTTTAAATTTATTTTAACATAAATAAAAACAAACAAATAAGGCAGAAACTTTACCACTTTAGTGGTGAATACACAAGGAGAGAAGAAATAGAATTTAAGGAAGTGTGGATGGGTAGAAATTCAATTTGGCTGTGCAAATATTACATGGTAAGTATGTATACTGTGTACACGTATGTATACTGTGGATACAAATACACATACAAGCAGATCTCTAATCCCAGGGAACTTGATAGCAGCAAGTGTGAGAAAATGTGTGTGGCTTAATATCACAAAGAACTAAGCAGGGGTCCAAACAGTCCCATCTAAAAGCAGAACTGGCTCCGGTAGCACAATCCGGAGGAGGTAGATAGAGGATGCAGTTAGGTGGGCCCTGAAGGAGTTTGAAGAGTCAATACCCAGGGAGGGAAACCGAAAACCTTGCCACCATTGAACGGATTCCAACTGCCGGAGGCCTGGCGGGACGGAGTCAACCTGCCCCTTTGGGTTTCCAAGACTTTAAACCTTGACATGCATACACAGCCTCGTCTTTCTCTCAAGGAGCAGCGGGTGGGTTCACGATGCAGACCTGACGCCTAGCTGCTCTGTGTGTTGCCCACGATGCCACCAGAGTTCATTTACAGAGAAGGGAAGGGCTTTTTTTCATCCAACGGCATGGAGGCAGGCAAGAACATGAGGGAAATAGCAAGGCCTCTGAATTAGCAAGAGCAATAAGGGAGGGTGGGCTTAATCTTACAAAACGGAAGTCTGTCCATGAGAGTCCAGACACCGTGCTATCTACTCAGCTGTGGCTGCACATGAATGAGGAGCTACTGTGTACTTGTGAGCAAGAGATAACCATGGTTAGGCTAAGTTGCTGAGTGGAAGGAACAAGAAGTGAGACTTGGATTCAGGGTGATGTAAGTGGAAGCTTCTTGGGAAATCCTGCAAATCAGTATGTGCCATGACATGGATGGACAGCGATTGGGTTTACCTTTGTGTGAGCATCTTGGTCGGCCCCATGCTTGGTGAGTATATCGGCAACATTCACTTTATCTTCCTGGGCTGCCAGGTGTAAGGATGTGAGTCCACTCTACAGGAAGAAAAGAAGCAAAAGGATACATTGGAAGAAGACAATATATCCCAAGGAAATCCTGTCTTGAAGTATTCCTAGAAAACCCATAACCCTTTTCCACAAACTTCACTTTTTGATATCCAAGACAAATACTGAAAAGTTAATATGAATTTTCAGCCAAGATACACACTCTAAGTTAATCAACACTTTCAGCAATTTTCTATTCTGGGGACTTATAAAGTGAGACCTGAAAATAACTCAGCTAATAAGCATCCAAACAACTTTCATTTCAAACCATCTGGGCTTTCTACTGAATCTATTTACTTACCTCAATAATTTATCACTCAACTACCAAATCTACTTTATGGCCAAAGGAATCACCTGTATTTTCATCAATAAAATATCACATCAATGTAAGCAATATACAGTGTTACAGGAAATAAGTTCAGTACCCCAAGATAGTCCATCATTATGTAGATACTAAAGATAATCAATCTCATGCAGTCCCATAAACCTCTTTATTTGTTTCTATGAACAATGTCATATTTGCATCAAGAAAATAGTTTCTTTAATCGAATGTGTGATTAAAGTACAATAAAGCATTCGTTAAAGGTGAAGAACTGGAGAAAGGAGGAACAGTAAGATGTTCAGTGAATCAATACCCAAAGCTGGCAGGCTCACTGTACATGCAAGGAACTACTTTCAAGCAAAATTGGCACACATGACATTTGTAACCTAATTCATTTGTTTGCTTAACTGATACACTTTTCAGTACTTGTCATATGCCAGAAAGGATCTGAAGACTTTGGAATATAGCACTGAACAAAAGTGACTTCCGTTTGTGCCATATAGTCCCACCTACCCACACTTCTTCAAATAGCTGGCGTATTCTTGTTCCTATAAAACCTGCATCCGGAGCCTAAGGTAGCTACCTGTGATCTCAGCCTACATACACTGCCCCCAAATTTATATCCAATTAAAATCCACAAGTCTGCATGAGCATGCCATCAGCTCAGTCACATTTTTCATCCATACTGCTACTTCTAGAAATTGGCAAGTGTTTTGACGTTTCAAAAAGGTAAACTAAAATGTACCACCCTACAGAGGAATAGGAAATCAAGAAGGTCTTTATTTAAAGGCCTGAGCTTTTTAATCCATAGAATTTTGGGTGAAGTCAGAGTTGAATTTATCAACTCTCAGGATGAAATATCGGGCAAATACTTTTGCATGAATGTCTTGGCATCACTTGCAAGCAAATATTATATAATCCTACAGTACAAACAGTCTGAATAAGAGAACAAAACAGAAGTCTTGTTTTCATTTTCGTTTTCTCCGTATTAGAATTGAAAACATATAAATATTTGTCATTACAGTGGCAGTCTGTTTAAAAATTATTGAAGTGATAATCAAATAATCATCAAATACCTCAAAGACATGTTTAAGTGCTATTCCCGCTCAATTTTCAGAATAAAATTTCTAGATATTCTCTGTATAAAAACCTACCTTTTTTTAAACGTTACCCCAGCCTACCAGAATTATATACATCATTTGAAAGTTTCTGTAAATCAGAAAATAGAATGTGTTGCTATGATTGTTCTAAAATAAAGTAATTTTTTGTCTGTTAGACCCGTTAATAGTCTTTATTCTATTATCATACAGTGAATGAACAAATAATTCATATAATGTACACATTATTGTGTTGCTAAGGGGTGGAGTCAACGCAATGGCAGCGAGGTGACTTAGATGACATAGCAGTTTAGACTATGGTTCTTCCTAAGAAATAATGATTTGGAGAGTATGAGGTTATTGATTTCCTTCCTCTTAAATTTTAGGTAAAGGTCATGTGTATCTTCTTTTTAATTATGAGGAGATATATTATCAATTTTGCTTTTGACAGGAGATGTTTTTACAGTCTTACATAGATGAAGGAGGTTTCCAAAAGTGCTTGGAAAAATCCCACTATCTTTCCATTCCCTGTTTCCTAAAACTTTCCGAAGCCCCCGTCTTGTGTGTTTCTGTGTGTATATGTATTTCTGTGTGCATATGTTTGATAACATTTATATAACAAGAATTCGCCATTTTGACCATTTTGTGTCAGTGCGTTCAATTACCTTGCCCATAGTTTGCTGCCATCACTTTTGTTTCCCAGAGATGTCATCACCTCAAAAAGAGATTCTCTCGCTGCCATCAAGTTAATCCTGACTCAGAGCGGCCCTGGGGGTGTCCGAGACTGTGTCTCTTGACAGAAGTAGGAAGCCTCATCTTTCTCCCATGGAGTGGCTGGTGATGTTGAACACGGAACTCGCTAACCACTACGGCTCATTAACAGAAGTTCTACATACCTTAAGTATTAGTTTCCCATTCCTCTCTTTCCCTGTAGGAAATTATATTTTCATATATACCTCGACATATTTAGTTTTACATAATGACAAATATACCCCGCCTTTTGTCTTCATGATAAATCTCAAATATAATACTGACATACGTGTTGTAAAGATAGTGTATTTAGTTTGTGATCTGGAGTTAGGATTATTCTAAGTGCTTACTTAGCAATGTCAAAAATACTCATTAAGTATTTGCTGATGACTGGATACTACAACTCTCAAAGGAAGTAATATGTGTGGAAGAATAGGGGTAGGGTGAACATAAGTAACAGATTTTAAATATGGATGTGGAATTTTCATAAACTAAAAGCACCACAATCAAAAACATTATCCAATAAGCTTGAAGAAAAATGTAGAATTTTCTATCCTAGCCCTGGTGTTGTAGTGGTTATGTGTTGGCTTGCGATCTGCATGGTTGGCAGTTCAAAAGCACCAGCAGCTCCACAGAAGGAAGACTGAGCTTTCTACTTCCGCAAACAGTTACAGTCTTGGAAATACACAGGGGTCACTCTGAGTCAGCCATGACTAGATGGTAGTAAGCTTTTTGAGTTTTATTCTAAATTACACTTGGTGTATGCATTTCTTTTACTTTCACATGAAGATGTATATCTATTTTTGAAAAGTGAACACTTACTATATATTGACATTAAACGAAATAGTCTACCACTGGTTTCGTAGTCAGACTTATTGTGTGATGGACCAGCTGAATAGAATGCTCCAAATGGCTACAAAAGTGTGCATGCGTCACTAACTGAGGGGTACACGAAATCTACCCACCCACCAGCATGTTCATGCTTGCTTAAATGCAAGGATTTTTCATCGGGCTAATTCTATCATTAGCCCTGTCCATGATTTTCAAAAAGATCTTAGAGGACTCTTGACAGGAACTAGGAGTACTGGAACATCTCTGAGCAATATAGACACAGAGCAGAACTCCTGAGGTGCTGAAGACAGCCGGCCTCCTGCTTTCTTTCTACTGAAGAAAGTTTCATAGAACTTTCTAAGGGACACCTGCTACCTACTTTATTTATGGGGAATTATGGGGAAGACCATGTTGAAACCGATTCTTCCCATAAGTACCAATTAGCTCAACAATGAGTATACACAGCAGCTGTATATTTGTGGAAAAACCTAAGAAATTTAATGTTTTCATGAAATCCCTGCCATGTGTTACAGAAGCATCAAAAGATCAACCAATAGATTAGCTTCTTAACACACGCTTCCATTCCTCAGTTGGGTGTTTGGGGAAGTCTGTGTGTACATACAAAGAGCCTAGTGGATGAAGAGATAGGCTGCTAACTGCCAGCTCATCAGATCAAACCCAGCAGCCTCTCCAAGGGAGAAAGTTGAGGCATTCTGCTCTGTCCAGACTTACATCCTAGGAAACCCATAGGGGCAGTTCTCCTCTGCCCTAAGGAGTTGATATGAGTTGTACTCAACTTAAAGGAAGGGAGATAAGAGGAGCCTTGGTGGTGCCGCTGGGTGAGCATTGGACCACTAACCACAGGGATGGAGGTTTAAACACACTAGTCTCCCCAACAGGAGAACAGTAAGCCATCTCCTCCTATAAAGATTGATCGCCTCTGCTGGAAAGAATACCAATCAAATAATGATTCAAAAAATGCAAGGATGGCTATCTTAATCTCTGACAAAATGGACCTCAAGATCCAAACCTTAAAAAAGAGACAAGGAGGGACACTACATAATGCTTAAAGACTCAGTAAACCAAGAAGCAGTGAGCATATTGCATATTTACACACCTAATAATGGTGCAGTGAATTTCATCAAACAAACTATTAAAAAGATTAATAAAGAAATCACGGACTCAACAATCATAGTAGGTGACTTTAACAACTCTGCTATCAGAGAAAGACAGATCATTGGGAAAGAAACTCAGCAAAGAGGCCATAGAGCTAAACAGTGTAATTAGGCAACAGGCCCTGATAGACATTTATAGAGCTTTCCATCCAAATGCAAATAAATTCACATTCTTCTCAAGCCCACATGGATGATTTTCAAGAATAGGCCACATGCTGGGACACAAGTCAAGCCTGAGTAAATTCAAACACATAGATATTATTCAGACATCTTTTTCAGATCACCATGTCATAAAGCTGAAGATTAATAAGAAGACATCCAGAAAAGCAAGGGCAATCAATTGGAGGATGAACAACGATCTCCTGCGACAAGAATGGGTACAGGCCCAGATTAGAGAGGATACCAGGAAGTTTCTAGACACTAACGAGAATGAGAATACAACGTATCGAAACTTAGGGGATACTGCGAAGGCAGTTATCACAGGTAGCTTGATATCATTAAATGCATATATGAAAAAAGAAGAGAGGCTTATGACAGATACGTTATCACAAAACCTCCAACAACTAGAACAGAGTCAGCAGAACAACCCCTCCAATAGGAAGAGAAACGAAATAATAAAAATCATGGCAGTTAAATCAGTGGGAAGACAAGAGAATAATGCAAAAGATAAATGCAGCTAAAAGCTGGTTCTACGAAAGGCAAATCTTACCAAAGACAGAAAGGAGCAAACATCAATAGTCAGGATGAGGGATGAACCAGGGGCAATAACAACAGACCCCAATGAGATTAAAAGGATAATCACAAAATTCAATGAAG